TTTTTTTTTTTTTGAGGTAGAATCTCACTCTGTTGCCTTGGGTAGAGTGCTGTGGCATCATAGCTCATAGCAACCTCAATCTCTTGGACTTAGGAGACCCTCTTACCTCAGCCTCCCAAATAGCTGAGATTACAAGTGCCAGCCATGATGCCTGGCTAGCTTTTTTTGTTTGTTTTTAATTTTTGGTAGTGACAGGGTCTCACTCTTGTTCAGGCTGGTCTCAAACTCCTGAACTCAAGTGATCTGCCCACTTCAGCTTCCCAGAGTGTTAGGATTAAAAGGCGTGAGTCACCAGACTTGGCCTCCAGTAATTTTTTTTAGAACAATTTTTGTGAAACCTTGGGTAAGTGAAAAATTTGTGTTATTTTCGAATATGAGTTCTTTCGTGGAATCAGTGCAGCACAGACAGCTCAGAATATCAGTGAAGTGTTTGGGAAGCATGTGGCCAGTGTATACACAGTACGTTGGTGATTTGAGAAGTTCCATTCTGGTGATTTTAATCTTGAAAACCAGCCACGTGGGCAAACGGAGACCAGCTCAAAGCTGGAGTGGAGGCAAATCCATTTCAAGCTACATGTGAAGTAGCATCAATGTTTGACGTTACTATTCTAGTTATATTGGACTGTTTGAAACAAACTGGCAAGGGAAAGAAGCTGAATAGATGGGTTCATGTATGGATTAAAAAAACATCAGAAGAGAAACTGTCTGCTAGCTTGCCTTTCATTGCATTCATGACATAAAGCCGCACTATTTCTATACCATAACGATACATGTGGTAAAAAATGGATTCTTTTTGACAATCACAAATGTTTGACACAATGGTTAGATCAAGATGAAGTACTAAAACATAATCCAAAACCGAATATTCATCAGAAAAACTAATGATGTCTGTTTGGTGGTCCAGTGCCGGTATTATTCACTACAGCTTTATGAAACCTGGTCAGTTGATTACAGCAGATGTCACTGCAACCAGTTGGATGAAATGATGAGAATGCTTGTGATTAAGTAGCTGAGGTTCATCAGTAGACACAGATCCATCTGCTTATAAGACAACACTTGATCACATGTTAAACAAGTAATGATGTTCAAACTACAGACACTAGACTTGGAAACTTTCCATCATCCACTATATTCAACAGATCTTGCACCAACTGTTTACCACTTCTAGGCTTGGGACCACTTCTTGCAAGGAAAAAGACTCAATTCCCAACAAGCTGTGGAAAATGCTTATGATTTCAATGCCACTTGCTTTCCTGGCTTCTTCACTGCTGGCATACACAAACTACTATTAAGATGGCAAAACTGTGTTGATAGTTCAGGAGCATACTTTGATTAACTGTACTGCTTCTTGTTTGAGATATAAGAAACTAAACTTTGATTCAAAATCAGACATTTCATATTTACTGACATAATAAATTTACCATTAAAGTACAGTTATCAATTTTAGTTCTGTGTTACTTTATCCTTGTACTCAATTTGTTCCACCTGTTGTCTCCTGTCCTTTCTATGTATATAAGTTCTCCATTGAAGTTATATTCAAAATATATTTGCAGGGTGTTTATATAATCCATTGAAATAAACAATTTAAATTGATGTAAATGTAGATGGTGTGTCCCAGGAAAAATTGGAAATTTTGCCTGGCAGCTGTGTATGACAGAACATACAGCTATAGGAGTTTACCTGTCTAAATACTCATTGAAATTAAATAAATTTTCTCTAAGATTATAGTAAAGTGCTGACTTCTTAATCATATGTGTGAAAAACAGATTTTTAAAAGCTTTATTGCTACTTAAGTAAATTAATTTCTTCATAGTAAAGGTGCTGTTTGCTTTGAGCCCATTTGAAAAATTCCTCCAATAAAGTTAGCACATCATAAAATGACTTCACTTTTTCACTTATAAGTGTGATGTTTCAGAAGCAGTTTTCTTCTCAATGTATAAATATTAATGTTGTGATGTAGAATTTGTATTAAGTTTTAGAGTTATTTCTAAAATTAGACTAAGAAATACTAGCAAATTTAAAAGGAGCTGATATTCTTTTGAATCATGCTTAAAGTTTTGATTTTTATAAGGGTAGTAAATCTATAGATTGGTAGGCAAGCATTTCTTATACCACAGCACAGACTAGTGGATCCTCTAATGTGTCCTTGAAGCGATCCAGGGGATCCTTGGAGCCGCATAGTTGCATCTCAGATTTACAGGATGTGCTAGATCCATGCAGATAATAAAGGCTGCCGAAATGTTTGCATAGATGCAGTCAGACTTGGTTTATACATGCTGGAGATGAACATTTGAATATATTTGACTATCCATTATTGAGTGTGTTCTTTAAAATAGGTTGTATAACCCATATATGCTGCTTAGTAACTCAGTAGCTTGTACTAAGTTTAAACATACATAATTGCTGGGTGCAGTGGCTCACGCCTGTAATCCTAGCACTGGGAAGCTGAGGCGAGTGGATTGCCTGAGCTCACAGGTTGGAGAGCAGCCTGAGCCAGAGTGAGACCTCGTCTCTAAAAATAGCCAGGCATTGTGGCGGGCACCTGTTCCAGCTACTTGGGAGACTGAAGCAAGAGAATCACTTAAGCCTAAGAGTTTGAAGTTGCTGTGAGCTATCAGGCCACGGCACTCTACCAAAGGTGACAAAGTGAGACTCTGTCTCAAGAAAAAATAAATAAAATAAAGTAAGCATTTATAATTATAACTTTTCAGAACAAATAGGGAAGAAAAAAGACTAAGATTTAAGAAACATCTAAATTTTACCTATTTCTTTATAAAGAAATTATCAATAATACTTCAAATAGATGTATTATAATTAGATGGAAATTTTCATTATTATATAAAATAGAGTAGCTACATTATAGTAATGTCAGTTTTGAATTGGGAGGGATGTAAGAAAGAGGAATGGATGCTTTGTTCTTTGACATCTTTAAACCCTCAGACTCTAATAAAAATCATGTTTTTCTTACCTATTTTTCAATATTTCTTTCTTTTTTAAGTGAATTTATCTCAGACTAGAGAGGTGATACTATCTATGTTAAGAAGGGACTATTTCATTTCCATGTTCCTCTGTATTCTGAAAGAATATGATTGGATTGGATTCCAAATAATATTTTCATATTTCGTGTGTACATTTTGTAAAAGTAGTTTTATTTTTTTGTATGCAAAAAGAAATTTCTTCCACAAAGCTTGAGAGTATGATTAAATTATTAAAGAATAAGAATTAGTTTTAAAAACAGTAAGGCATTGTATGTTCAATCCTGTTAATATGAAAATCTATATCTTTAGAGATAAAACTCTAAATTTAATGTATAGAAATCATCCAAATGGTCAGATATATAAGTATGTTTAATCTAACATGTGACTAACTTTATTATTAAGACTATCTATTGAACATATTGTGAAAACTTAATAGTATACCTTTCAATCAGTACCTAATATGTTTCCCCTCCATCCTTAGCCAAATGAAAAAATATGCTATTTTAATCTTGCATATGTTTTCACATGATGATAAGGATAAAAATGATTTTCAGTGGTGGGTGTTTGGGAAATTGTAAATTTTTTTTTCTCTTCCTCAAATTGCCCTTTTTTTTTTCTTTTAATGTCTACAGGTTCCATTCTGATTGGTGTTCACCTTCAAACTGCGATGAGATCCATGACCGGGTAAAAAATATCTTGAAATCACATCAGGCTCAACAAAGACATTTATATGTTAGTTTCTGAAATTTTCTCTTGAAGGCTATTTATAATAGGGCAAGGAAACCACTTGAGATGTGTAAAGCTTGCAATATTTAGTCACTGAGAAGAAAGAAAACAATTTCATGGTTTTCCTAAAAGCAACCTATCTAACTTCTTGCTTGACCTGAGTCATGAAAAATGTTTGGCATAGATCATATGAATTCTAAACAATATTACTAATAATTATCATATAAAGAGTCAGTATGAACAGGTACAATGACGCAACACCTGTAATTCTGGCACTTTGTAAGGCTGAAATGGGAGGATTGCTTGAGGCCAGGAGTTTGAGACCAGCCTGAGCAAGAGTAAGACTCCATCTCTAGAAAGTAGAGAAATTAGCCAGGCATGGTGATGCATATTTATAGCTACTTGGGAGGCTGGACCAGGAGGATCAATCAAGCCTGGGAGTTTGAGGTTACAGTGAGCTATAGGCTGGGAGACTGAGCAAGACAGAATCTCAGAAGTATGTAGTGCCCTCCTAATAATTATTTCATAGCCTTCAAAATATGAGACCTTGTTTGCTGGCCCAATATAAAACATTTTCATATGCTGCAAAGATATTTGATTCTAAATGGTAGCGTGAGAAGAGAGTGAGAAGTATGTAACTTGAAGAAGATTCTCAGCCAATTTGTATGTTAATATTTAAAAGAGGATAATAGCAGGTCAGGCTTACCAGGTTTAATGCTGGAGAACATCAATATGAAGTTTTTTTGCAATAAGGCAAATAAACATTCACATGAATGACAGCTGAGAAATAATAATAGTATATACTCTTTTAGTATTTGATTTCTTGTTTTATTCATTAGTTTAAAAAACAATCATTTATCATAAGTGTCATGTTGGGCACTAAGTTTAGTCCTGGAGATATATCCTGGACATTAGGATCAGTTTTTACAATTTTAAGTTCCTATATATGTGCTGTTTCTAAAATTAGACTTGTTTTCAAAGTGTAATATATATGTAGTAAATGCACAAATCCTAAATAATACTTTGTTGAATTATAATAAAATCAACAGACTCATGTAAATTATTTACCAGATCAAGAAACAAAACACAATCTGTTTTGCAGAAGCCCCTCCTTTCCTATCAGCCATTGTCATTCCAAGTATAAACATCATTTAGCTTCTAATAAAACATTATCTACCTTCCAACAGCAAGATTAGTATTGCGTGTTTTGAAGTTTATGTAAATAACATCCTATAGTGTCTACTCCTCTTTTTTATTCTAATTTGTTTTACTTTGCTTTTACAGGCATTTTTACAATTCAGACTTACTGTTTTACACAGAATTTGTTCTTTAGTCTTGCTTCTGTGTGGCATTGTATTGTTCATGAAAATAAATGCCATTTATTTATTCCTCTGTTGATGGGCATATGGGTTGTTTCAGGGTTGGGCTATCATGGAGCTGCTGTGAGTAGTATACACACATCCTTGGATGATGTGTACATCTTATTTGGTTATATACTGTGTTGTAACCAGATGCAAATGTGTTGCTATCAAGGAATACCTGAGAGTTGATAATTTATAAAATAAGAAGTTTATTTGTATTTGGCTCTCAGTTCTGTAGACTGTAGTATAGGAGCATGGTGCCAGCATCTGCTTCTGGTGAGGGCTTCAGGGAGCTTCCAATCAAGATGGAAGGCAAAGAGTATCAGGGAGGTCACATAAAGAGAAAGGGAAAAAGAGTGAGGAGGGACCAGACTCTTTTAAAGAACCCGCTCTAATGCAGACTAATGGAGAGAACTAACTCCTGACTGTGCTGAAGTGGGCCAAGCCATTCATGAGGAATCCTCTCCATGACCCTAACACTTTCCACTAAGTTCCACCTCCAGGGAAAATTTCCACCAGGGGTCAAATTTCAAGAAATCAAGATTTGAAGAGATCAAGTAGATCAAGATTTGATCAAGTAGATAAGATTTGAAGAGATCAAGTATCCAAACCATGTCATTTATCTACCAGTGGATTACTCACTCAGAGGGTGTGTGTACATTTAGTTTTAGTAGATGCTGCCAGAGAGTTTTGCCTATGGTCTTAGTTACAGTCCCAGTACCAGTTGGGGAGAGTTCTTGTTCCACATTCTCACTACTACTTTATTGATTGTGTATGTGTGCGTTTTCCTTTTGGCATTCTCATAAGTAAAAAGTATTGGTTTTAATTTGCTGTTTCCTAATGACTAGTGAACATGTTTATTGGTCATTCTTTTGTGAATGCCCATTCAAGTCATTCTTTTCCCTCTCTGTGCCTTACTTTTCAGTGTTTTCATGTATCTTTTGATGAAAAGTAGTTCTTAATTCTAATGAAGCCAATTTATAATTTTTTTCTTTTTGCGTAGTATTTTTATAATATTTGTCAACTTCTAGACTTCTGTATTTTCTCCTAACGGCTTTTTGTTCTCTTTCACACTTAAATATATAGTGTTCTTAGCAGCCTGGATAACGTAGTGAGATCACATCTCTGCATGCACACACCAAACACACATACACACACAAACACATGTACACATGAGCCAGGCATAGTAGCCTGCAGAAGGCTGAGACAAAAGGATTGCATGAGCCCAGGAGTTTGAAGTTGGAATGAGGTACTTTTGGGCCACTGCACTCCAGCCTCCTTTATTTCCATCCTCGAACTCCTGGGCTCACCTCAGTCCCACCTGCAGGAGTTGGGACTATAGGTATGTGCCACAATGCCCAGCTAATGTTTTAAATTTTTTGTTGAGATGAGGTCTTACTAATATTTCCTAGGCTAGTCTCCAGCTCCTGGCCTCGAGAAATCCTCCCACTTTGTCTTCCCAAGCTGCCAGGATTACAGGCATGAGCCACCATTCCTGGCAATTAAAGTTTTTTTTTTATTAACTTACTATTTTAATTATTCTATTGTTTATTTTATTTATTTAAACATGTACACTGTTGTCATATGGGCCACAAAAATATACAACAATGATAATGAATGCCATTCAACAAGATGCTGCCACATGTTGATGTGAACACAGTTGTGAGACGCTGATATACCAAGGGTATCAAACCTTATTGAGTTGTTGGTATGGTGCTGCCAGCGTAAGAGTACGATGGCAAGTTCAGGGACTTAATTGTCAGACTTTGTATGATGGCAGCTCTGATGGTCATTTCAGAAAAAGTGTTCCAAAATTGCTTTGAAGGATAGACTGGGCACTGGCGTTGATGCATAGCTTCCCAAGGGGAGTACCCCAGAGGTGACCATATTGATATTCAGCAATGAGGTGTGTAGCACCTTTTCTACAATGAGTTCACAAATTTAATTGTCAGACCTCATATGTTGAAAAGTGGTGACAGGTGGGTATCCTAGTCTTGCTTCAGATCTTAGTAGAAAAACTTTCAAATTTCCCCATTATGATGTTGGCTGTAAGTGTGTCACATATGGCTCTTACTGTGTGGACATGTGTTCCTCCTACACCTACATAACTTGTTGGGAGTTTTTATCATGAAGGGTCATTACATTTTATCAAATGCTTTTTATGCATCTCTCAAGATGAGTATATGGTTTTTGTCCTTCATTTGGTTGGTATGATGTATCACATTTATTGATTTGCATATATTCAACCATCCTTGCATACATGGGACCAATTCAATTTGATTACATTGAATGATCTTTTTAATGTGCTGCTGGATTTGAGTTTGATAGTATTTTTATTTCAGAATTTTTGCTTCCATGTTCATGAGGAATATTGGCCTGCAGTTTTCTGTTTTTATTGTGTCCTTTTCTGGTTTTGGTATCAAGGTAATGCTGGCCCCATAGAACAAGTTTGGAAGAATATACCTCAGTATAATTTTTTGGAAGAGTTTGAGAAGAATAGAAATTAGTTTTTTAAAAAGTGGAATTCAACACTAAAACCATCAGGTCTTGGGCTTTTATTTTATGAAAGTTTTTTTTTTTTTCCTTTAACAGATTCAACCTTATTACTCATAATTGGTCTGTTCAGATTTTCTATTCTTGGTTTGATCTTGGTAGGTTGTATATGTAAAAGAATGTATCCATTTCCGTTAGGTTTTCTAGTTTGTTGGCGTATAGTTAATTCATAATGATCTCTATTGAGCCTTTGCATTCTTGTGGTATCAGTTGTTAGTGTCTTTTTTTGTTTCTGATTTTATTTCTCAGAGTTTAATCTTTTTCTCAGTCTAGTTAATGGTTTGTTAATTTTGTTTATCTTAAAAAAAAAAACACAGCTTTTTGAATCAGGCATGAAGATGCATTTCTGTAGGGCTAGCTGCTCAGGAGGCTGAGGTAGGAAGATTACTTGAGTCGAAGAGTTTGAGGCCACCCTGGGTAGTAACAAAATCCCATCTCTTATAGACAACCAAAAAACCCTTTTATTTTGGCTATCTCATGTATTTTTTTTTTTTAGTTTGAATTTTATCTGTTTTTGCTCTGATCTTTATTTCTTTCCCTCTACACATTTTGTATTTGGTTTGTTCTTGCTTTTCTAGTTCCTTGAGACACATCATTATGCTGTTTACTTGAATCTTTGTACTTTTTTGATGTAGGCATTTGTTGCTATAAATATTCTATTTAATGTTGCTTTTGCTCTATCACATATGTTTTGGTATTTTGTGTTTCTATTTTTATTTGTTCCAGATACTTTTTTAATTTTCTTTTTAATTTCTTCATTAACCCATTGGTTATTTAGGAGCAAGTTGTCTAATTTCAATTATGTAAATTTTCTTACAGGTTAACTTGACACTTTTCTCTTGCTACTTTTAGAATTCTCTTTGCCTTTAACTTTTGGCAAATTGATCAGAATGTGCTGTGGGAAGGACCGTTTTTAGTTAAATCTTTTGGGAGAATCTTTGAGCTTTATAAATCTGGATATCTATATTCCTCCAAACTTGGAAACTTTTAAGGTAATATTTTATTGAGTTTTCAAATGGGTTTTCTATGTCTTTTCCTTTCTCT